ATAATTAAAATATTGTTGTATAATCATTATGTAATTGGGCTTGACCCGAATTGTAAATAAATAAAAATAAAAATTACCTATCATTGAAATTATATTTTTATAAACCATCCATGACCGTGACTAACTGTAACTTGTTATATACTTTACAGCAGAGAATTAGATAAATACCAACCATTTTTAGTTATGTATTGTAACATGCATTAACATACAAATATGTATGCATATTTTAGCAGAGAATCTCACGATAATACTCTCTACTTACAGATGGACAATGTACGATAGTAATGAATACAGTAATTAACTATAACTAAATCCCAATTGAATAATTGAAATAATACTACAAACCAACCTTCCCTTGATCTCCCTTGACCACATTGTATTCACCATTCCAATCGATACAAACAGGTGCTACAACATCATTAAAATAAACTCGGTTTTGTAATATAATTATAGCTATATGTTCAGCATACGACAAAGTAAGAGGTGTATGATGTTCATTCAGGTAAATCATTTCTACCTGAAAAATTATTTTAAATTATAATATATCATACCTATTAATTGCAGTTTTTTGAATCATTAATAACTTACATTTATTATTTTAGTAAATTCACTGTCGATTACTTTTATATCTTTAGTATATTTTCCAACAGCAATTCTGTATAGACCATTATTTACTGATATTAACTCAGATAACATATCATCATTTTTCTGAACACAATGAGCAGCTAAAAATGATATTTATTTAAGTTTCATTTTTTTAAAATACATTAAAGAAAGATTTTACCAGAAATTATTACATTTGGAGCAATAATTGATCCTCCACATATCAATTCACAATTGGAATCCGTCAATTTATGTATTGCAACATACCAAGGTGCCGTTCCTACATTATTTTTTTGGACATTGGGAAACGATACCTTTTTTTCAACATAATATGCTCTACCACAACCTAAAACAATATTAGAAGCTCCATATTTAGATTAAAATGAGTAACAACGCATAACTCTAAAATATATTAGTTATCACACAAACATATAAATAATATTAGTAATTAATTGTCATATAACTATTATTTGGTACCTATGGTCATACTTGTTCCATAATTGTGCAGAGGCAATACAGCACATAACGCTTTTGTCTCGTCTGAACCATCTGAACAATCCTTATGACCATCACAAACCCGCAACAATTCAATACACAGTCCATTTGAACAATGAAACTTGTACTCGGTGTTTCTATAATTTTATTCAAATGTGACAAATAATAATTAAATATTTACTACACAACAGTTAGACTCAACCTGAATTGTATATTACTACTGATCAGCTATCTGCAAGAAATATGGTTAAAAATGATCAAATTTGCATCAAAAACGATTGACTGACTTATTAATATATTATTGTCATGTTAACTGAATTAGAAACAAGTTGTGAACAAAATATTCTAATAAAAATACCTATAAGGTATTTACGAATTTGAAATGTTTATTCAACTTAAGACTTTTAATTTGAAATATATAATATTAAACTATAGTTAAGTTATAAGTTGCTTTGATCCTATGATCCTCTTAACATTGGAGAGGCTTTGTAAGTGTTTTTTTTTATAAGTCTAGAGTATCAATAAGTGGGAATTGAGAGGGTCAGAACAGAACTCAGAAGTTATGTAGTTAGTACTAGGCACGATTAAAGACAAGGCCTCAGAAGTTTTTCTAAGACCATAATTAAAGATATACTGGTTGCGCAACGAGTAACGACTAGAAGTGTCGTCAACTTTTGTTTGATAAGAATTGTATATATATAAATAACTTAAATCGTAGGATAGGCCATTTGTGCTTTAGGTAATCAAATCATAAATTAACATAAAAAATGAGATTAAAGAATATTTTACTTTCTTATAATAGATATGAACTATGAAACTTGCCTTCAGATTATTTGAGGCTTGTTTAAATTCCACATCACAAGTATTTTCTAAATACCTCAACTGGTCTATAGATGAAAAACAATATGTGACCGACTTTTGATTGGTGACTGGTATTGACTAGTTAAATGAAAACTTACCAATAAATTCCCATATTTTTTTATGAGGCCCAAGGTTTTTTGAAGAGTACGGCATGGTAACTTTCTAAATAATTATTAGTCCTAATATCGCGATTATATACCGTAAATCTTTCAGGAGTTATGGAATGAATCCAAAAAGGAATAATGTATTCATAAATAAATCGGTGGTATGCCAAAGAACATTTTCATACTGCACTATGAATACAATTATGGCATTAACACCATCAACCACCGAAGAAACACTGCTAATTCTTTCAGACCGAAGGTACGGTAGTGCAAGTATCTGTAAAACATTTAAATAATTAATTCACAATAATGATTTATTTTAAATGTTTAATAATAGGTAAAATATTAAGAACCATCCGGAAAACAGGAGCAGCAACACGGTTTATTTTTACTAAATTGTAAACACCGTCGACTTGTTTCTGGCATACCGCAGAATCGCCTAAATGAATTAGTAATAATTATGTATATATTTTAATACTTCTTATTAAACCCTTACCTGACAATAATGAAAATAGCAGCCCTGGTGAGTTATTTCTGTAAATACAGTATGTATTGCATTGATTTGCCCAATTGCATAATCTGTAATAATCATAAGATTTTGGTATTGCAGGGGTATCATATCTTTGATACATGCAAATAATGCAGTATATATTCCTTCAGACTTTCCATTTAAAAGCGCATATACCAGAAGATAGCTCTATAATACAAAAAAACAAGAATTAAGATTTAGAACAGAAGAAAAATATTCACATAAGTTTCATAATTGCTGAATATAGAAAAGAACATACAACATTTTAGTACATTATTTGAAACGTAAATAGTTGGTCGAATCATTGTCTTTGGGATAGTCTTAAATGTACCATCACATCCGGCTACTGTTATCTATAACATCATAACAGTACTAATAATAATATAATAATAAAAGTTCTCCAAGAAAGAAATCGCTACACCAGGTAAATCCAGAAATGTTCTGAAATTGGGAACTGAAGGTATAGTCCGGTTGGATAGAGGTCGAACAAGTTTTAGATTACTAACTAATCGTTCACAAAAAACTGGACAACCAATGGATTTAGCTCGGGAGAACCAGGCTTTACATGAGCACCTGAGGGAAGAAGCAGCACGGTATGATAGACAATTGGATACATATAAATTTGCTCAACAGAGACAGGTAGTTCTTGTTAGCAGGCTTCAGGCAAAGATTGGTATTTTTGATTTTACTGCATTAGCTCCATTGGTATTTTAAATGTATGATTTTTGTTTTTCAGGTAATGCAGTATAGAGAACGATGTTCCGAGTTGGACAGGCAGAAGAGAAATAGTATTTCATAAATTGATAATGTTAGGAGTTATCGTGTTTCAGTCAGAGATTATCAGTCAATGAACTTAGATTTTGCAATACGTGCTTTAGAACAAGAACGAGCCAAGTAAAAATATTTTTCTTTTTTTTTAATTGACAGTGACTATATTATTCTTTTCAATATTGTAGAACTGAAAAAGTCATGGAACTAAACTTGACACTCAGAGAACAATTAGATGGTGCTCAAACAAGCAATGAAACACTGTCTACAGATTTGCAAAAGTTAACTAGCGATTGGGAAAAATGAAAGATGAAATGAATGCTAAAGAAGATGAATGGAAAGAAGAAGAACAAATGTTTAAAGAGTATTGTTCATTGGAACACCGACGAATGATGAGTCTGTGGCAAGATGTAGCTCAAGTATAAAGGATGATCACTGATATGAAATCATCAACTCAACAAGATCTTAATAATACTAATAATACTTAAAAATACAAAAAAAAATAATCTTGACTTACGTTTTGTAACTCAACAGCTATGTCTTGAATAAAACTTGTGTTACAAAAGACTAATCCAACTAACATTCCATTTACCATCAATGGCCCCTGATAGAATCTGTAAATGGAAATAATCATTTATATTTTAATTTTTTTACCGAATAATATTGGCTTTTACTGATTTGGTTGTGCCTGGAATGTGAGGGCAAAGTGTCTGTTTTCATTAATTTGTAAAAGTTGATGGAGGTGTAAAAGATTCCTTGGAGTTGGGGGGAATATGGATTTCATTAATTGGCACATTCTCTCTGTGGCTTGGAGGTATGTATAATAGTATGCTCCTTCTGGACAACTGAAAATTAATTTATAATAATAGTAATTACTGTTGAAATTCATCAAAATAATAATTGTATTAAACATTACTTTTTAATTGCTTGCATGTATAATGCTTTAGCTGAATAAGGTGTCGGACTATGAGCTACACACTGTTCTGCAAGAATGTTCCGTAATTCCCTCATGGGTGTGTCATCTCTCCTTACTCTATGATCATGTCTCTTCTTGATGAAAAAAAGCATTGTCATTCAAATTTAGCGATATCGATCCTGTAGCTGGACATCCACTCTTATATTCCTTGCATCTCGTATAACAACAATATAATTCAATAAAACTTAAATTTCTTCACACAATTGTATTACCTAAATATTCCAACTTAATTTACATTTTTCTTTCAGTTGTTTTACTTTTGACGCACATATTCCAACATTGTCCTTGATTATATGTTCCTTGAGAACATAGCTTATGCTTATTGTCTTCAATGATGGGCTTGTAAGTTGTAGTAAGTTTTTGTTTGAAGTGCACCATGGCTGATGCTGAAAAATTAAGAATATTTCAAAATACTTTATTAAAAAGATATTAAAATTAGAGATATTTTATTCGGTAACGTTGGTGTACGTGTAGAAGGTTAGCGATAAACGCGGACTATCATTTTTCGGACTATTGGGTTTATGCCATTTGTGCTTAATTACGGAAGCGTAGTAGTGCCACTTAGAAAAAAATATTTGTTACAATTTCGACTTATCAACTCGAAATTACGACTTATCAACTTCAAATTTCGTCTTAACAACTCTGTGTTTCTAATTAAAAACTCTAAATGTTGACTTTCAAATTCAAAATTTCGACTTGGCAACTCGACATTTTTGCGTAAAAGTTTTTAAATATTGTGGTTAAGTTGTATATACTGATATATATCTTTCACGATTACACAAAGATAAGAAATTACTATGAACAATAATAAACCAAATAAACTCTGGTTGTCATAATTTTTATACCTATTCGAGTTGTTTGTTTTTTAAGCGGTGATTTCAAATGTAATATTTACAAAAAAATATTATTATTATAGCAGCGTAATTTTGGACGTATACTGCAGTATGCTTTAAATTGTTTTGTTTTATTATTAGTTATTATCAGGTTTAGGAGTTGTATGCAACAGCATGTTTTTTTTGTTACTTGCTTCATTTTCTGTCCAAATGTAGTTTTAGTGAGTAATTTCCGCGATTTATATTTTACATGTTTTTGCATACAATGAGCTTTATGCATATTTTTGCTTATTTTGCATAATATTTTAGTATGATCGTATTTATTTTATTGTATTTATAAGCTGATAATAATGAAACCGATCAAATTACCTATATTAATTGGTTTTTTGATCAAACATAAATTTTATTTTTATAAATACAAATCTATGGTTTACTATACTCCGTACGCCTATCAAATGATTATTGGAAAATCGAAAATTTTTAAAATATTTAGTCGTAGCATATACACGTCTTTTCTACTATTAAATCTGAATTATATATAATATTATATTAAGACAATCAGCTAATCACTGATGTATTTCAATAAATAAACATTTTTTTTTGTAACTATATTTTTGTGTATCTTTTAAAAACTTAAATACATATTTTACAATTTTTTGTTTTATACAAATTTTAGCTAATCCGGGACGAAACGTCATATCTTAATAATTGGCGGGGACAAAACGTCCGTCGCTGGTTTATTTGACTGGGGCAAAATATCCACGATTCACAATAATTATGTCATACTAATAAGCAGGGCCGTAACTACGGGGGGGGGGGTAAGGGGTTCAACCCCCCCCCCCTCTCAGAAAAATAGAAAATTTAAAAATTTCTAGTTTATTCTAAAATTAAAAAAAAAATTTTAAATTTAAATACTTTATATATCTATATTATGATCGATTTATGCATGTATGTATTTATAGAATAGTGCTCAAGGTGGCAAGGTGTATGATAGCGTAAACGTATCTATCTTCTCGTCGAATTACGGAGCCTTTCGTACACGTAGAACGGTCATAACTCATAGATAGAGGGCACTTTTCGTGTGTGACTTGTGACTGCACAATATTAATATTATATATATAATATATATACAATAATATAATTATGTATAAACAATAAATTCTAATTAACAACCTGATTATTTTGATTTCATTTTATTGAATTGTTTGTCTAACAGGATCGTCTTAATGGTTTAGTGTTACTGAGTTATTATAGGAATGTTGTTATCACGCCAGATGAAGTATTAAATGAAATGGCAAAGAAGCTGAGAAAAATTGACTTAGTGTTATAATGAAAATATAATGTTTTACTCAATGTAATTTCCTATAGTAATATCCTCTATAAAATTTCTATCTATGGAACTGAACCCTCCCCATAGAAAATTCTTAGCTACGGCCCTGCTAATAATTTAAAATAAGTAAAACTTGAGTGAATTGGGGGTTGTGACTGTTGTGAGGGACAGAGCACCCCAATAATTCATTGACATAAAATATTTAATGCATATATTATTAGTAGAAACCCACGCTTCGCCACTGATGATAAAGTATTATTTTATTATTTTAGTCATGACAAAATAGATAGATCTCTATCTGGATAATGTCTAGGCGGATTGTGAAATTTCATAAAAATTAAATTCTTTGACTATAAAATATATAATTTATATAATTCTTAGATTAACCTAGTACAGTAGTACATGATTTACTGCTAAGCTACATTCCCGCGATTTAGCCAAGAATCCAATTATTTAAGTAATACTTAGATATTGACTATTAGTCTGTGGTAATATCACACAAAAAAATTATCGTCTATAATTATACTGTATGTAGTATGTTCATTAAAATATTATGTGAAAGCAAAGAAAAGTTTGAAAATAACTTTGAAGTAATGACACAGAATTGAGAATATATTTAATTTAATCTATTCTGTGGTAATGATGTCGTCAACCGTTATAAAAAAAGTAAACAAACTTGAAACAGTTGAAACCAGTGCCTCAAAAACCGGGTGTGCAGAGTGTGCGGCACACACGGGCCTCAAGGCTTACATACATTTGGGGGGCCCCCGGGCCCAATTTGGAGCAAACACTGAAATTGTCTTAAAACTCAAAACTTAATTATTCATAATACTTTTTTTTTAAGTTGAAACATTATTGTAGTTGTAGGTATATACTAATATTAGATTAAGTAATAAGTATGTTAAAATGGATGGTAGGTTTAGAAAAAGGTGGGTACCTATCAAGTATTCAAGTGTCAACGTTTCTAACTTTTTAAGTACTATCAATTTTTTCCATAAGATCTATTTTTATCGCGTCTATGGGTCTTTGTTTGTCGCATTGTCGGAAGAACAACAGGCTGATAGCGGAAAACGCCGACGGTTGATGAGTGACGACGTACACAACATTTTATAGGTATTTAGTACTGGGAGGCCTCTGAAATCCGTTTAGTCTGCTTTTTATTTTTATTAATTTTAGCTTATTCTATAACATCACTTATTCTTATTGTTCCCTTTGAAACAGATTGAATAAAACGTATGAACCAAAAAAAAATTTATATATATGTAGGTATACACAAAACCTAAAAACGTTGGCACTTCTAGATTGTAATACATACAGTAAAATTAATTTAGGAAGAGGCCCAAAAAAATATTGCACACGGGCCCCTTATTATGAAGTTGCGGCACTGGTTGAAACTATATTAAATAAAAACCTGGAAAAAATAAGTTTGACATCACCAGCTACCGTCCAATATCCCTTACCTGTACACTTTGCAAACTACTAGAAAAAATTTTAAATAGACGCCTAATTTGGTATCTAGAAACATCACATAAATTTATCCCCCAGCAATACGGCTTCCGCCGCAACCATTCTACGCAAGATGCCCTAGCCACCCTACACACCAACATAAGCGAATCCATAAAAAAAAATCAACATACCATCCTTGTCGCTCTTGACTTGGAAAAAGCGTACGATATGGTCTGGAAAAACAGAGTCATTGATATTTTGTCTAGTTGGTCCATAGACGGCAACATGCTAACTTTTTTACACAATTTTCTTTCCGACCGAACAATTCAAGTTAAAGTTGAAAACACTCTATCTGATCACACAACATTAGATAATGGATTACCTCAAGGATCGGTTATCAGTGTTACATTATTCCTAATCGCCATAAATGATATTTTCAACAACATTCAAAAACCTGTCAAGTACACATTATTTGCCGACGATTGTAATATTTATTGTAGTGGCACTGACACTAGGTCCACTGTAGCCCTCCTACAAAACGCTATCAACTCACTTGTACAATGGTCCTCATATTCTGGCTTCAAATTCTCACCGCATAAAACTCAATGCATAATCTTCAACAAAAAGAAAAAGAACACACTTCACCATATCTATATTAATAACGTTCCAACAGTTTACACGGACAACATCCGCCTACTCGGAATGATATTCGATACCAAATTTTCATGGGCCCCTCATCTCAAAAAACTAAAAATAAGCTGCAACGCCAAAATTAAGATCATCAAAATTCTTTCCCACCACATATGGGGAGCAGATAAAAACAGCCTAATATTAATTTACAAAGCACTAATTTTATCAAGAATAGATTATGGCTCCATTATCTACAATTCAGCCAAACCAAACATTAAACAAATCATCAATCCAATCCACAACCAAGCAATCAGACTAGCAATAGGTGCCTTTCGTACCAGCCCTATTGACAGCATTCTATGCATTTCAGGTGAACCCCCACTACAAATCAGAAGAGATAAAAATATACTAAAATATGTTACTAAAAAACTTAGTTTCCCCAACCAAACAATATATAAATTATTCAAGTCACCTACCCAAATCTACACGCTCAAAGAACCAGCTACAATTATGGAAACTTACACACGTATATGCAAGAAATCCAACTTCCATCTCAACATCGAAGTGTCATCTCCGTTTCTAACAACTCCATTCTGGCTATATTCCACTCAAGTTCACACTCAATTATCAAATTTCAACAAAAACTCCAACCCTCATTCCATTATTACCTCAAATTTCAACGACATCATAAACTCAGATTTCCATGACTTCAACCTTATCTACACAGATGCATCAAAAAATATAACAGGCACAGGCTGTGCATTCATTTCTGGATCCGTTAAAAAACTATACAAACTACCTACTGAAGCCAGCATCTTCACAGCAGAAATAACCGCCATCAAAGAAGCAACTATCTACGTTGAATCCATCCACATAAAAAAAGCTCTTATCATAAGCGACTCTCTCAGTGCCTTAACTTCCTTACTATCTCCTAATCCGACCAATGAAATCTCTCAACAAATAATCAATATCATAACTAACTCAAAAAATATTATAGAGTTTATGTGGGTCCCGTCACATACTGGTATCAAAGGCAACGAAGAAGTTGACCTACTAGCGAACCAAGCTATATCATCCACTGAATCAACTGTTATAAATTCGCTACCATATAAAGACCTATCAAGAATAATCAACCTAATCTCAAACAAACAGTGGCAATCACAATGGGACCGCACCTCGGATAACAAATTAAAAAATATAAAAAAAACCATACAGAAATGGCGATCCCCCATAAACACAACCCGTAAAGCAGATATAGTCACAACTAGAGCCAGAATTGGCCACACACATCTCACCCATTCTTTCCTTTTCAACCATGAAGAACATCCAACCTGCCATCAATGTAACCTACCACTGACAATTGAACATCTCACACTCAGCTGCACCAAGTACAACAATGAACGAAGCATCTTAAACTTCCCCTCCAACATCGAAGAAGCACTCGGGGAAACCAACACCGATGCCATCTTCAACTTTTTTAATGCCATCAAAGTATCCAACCTATTATAAAAATCTGCAAATACTACTGTTTTACCTATTTATTTAACATTACTATTTTATTTTATTTATCTACGTATTTTGTTTAATTCTCATGTTACTATGTACATAAGACTTTTTCAATATTTCTAATCTTTAATCTACCATTGTAAACCTTTTCAGGCTAATGACCTCTGATGTCGAAGCCTTATTCTTAATAAAAAAAAAAAATATATATATTAAATACTTACATAACTATAAAGTAAGGGCTTCGGAATGGGCAATGTTGTCTATAAATTATTTAATTATTAGAAATGGTTACACAAATATATAATAACTAAAAATATAAACTACTTGGAAGTGTTTTCAATGATTAATAATATTATTTTGTGAATTTTAAATTGCCGCCAAAAATATAGATAATCATTCGCCCATATTATCTTCCAAAATATTGAATTATTATTTATTTATAGCACACATTAATTCCACTGTTGGCGATGAACACATATTACCAGCTTACAAGAGTTTGAGACAATAGAATTTTACCATTTTTACCGCCAATACTGCAGTGTGAGTGTATAAAAAATAGACTATAATTTGTCATTATTCATCAATCTTTAAAAAAAAACTGAAACCATGTCGTCTACTATTAAAGAGTTTTTAATACAGAGATCCATTGAAGATGCCGACTACATAGCTCGTGAAATGGAAGCTCAAAAGGTAAGAATTGCTTGTATTAAACGTTTAATATATCTTTATAATATTACTTAGAGCGATGTGCACCTAGAGTACGTGAGAGAAAGAAGAACGACGAGTGTTGTAGTTGGTTACAAATTGATGATTTCTCATTTTTTTATTTGTATATCAAGCCGTAAAGATGTTTTTTTTTTAGTAAGGAGTAAATGTGATTATAATGTACTTACACCTTAGCCACAGAGTTATTTTATGCTGCAGTCATGGTTTTACACATTCAGTTATCAAACTGCTTAAGTGTCTAAACACTATTTTTAGGCAGTTACAAAATTGTATAAGTCGTTTGTACTTAATATCAAATTTATGCTGAAATATTTGTTTACCTACCTATTGTGTGCGAATGAAACCAATACCACATAATATATCTATTCTGTGCTATTAGTATAAACCCACCTTAAGGCCCAACATACACCAATACTGTGTGATGATGATGTTCTGGGATAAACCTCAGAATATTGGTAAAAATTAAATATATATTATACTACTGAGTATCAAGGAGTGCAATATTGGTGTTTTTGTTGTATTTCAGTTTACATATTTGTTTTTTTTGCTATGATAATTTTACCAATGATACAACTATTGTGCAATTACAGTTATTTTTTTAGAAATTTTGTAATTTTGCTACATCCCCCGCTTTGACTAAAACAAAGTAATAACTATTTTTAAATTCTATAGACAAACACGTTATGTTACCTGTAATTGATTTAAATATAAAGGTTGAGTAATACAAAAAAATATATTTTTCTTCTACAATATTGGCTAACTTAACTTAAACTTTTTAAAATGATTATCCTGTGCGTGCCTCAAACTTTCATTCATAATTACCCTATAATTACACATCCTTCTCTTCCATCTCTACTTAATTTGATCTTCTCTAATGTCATCTTAATGTTTCTAATTTGTATAATATACAGATTTTTTGTTCTTAGATAATCACAGTAGCCTCTAATTAATAAGTAAATTTAATTGAAAAATTGTATTTCAGATTGATATTGATGTTCTGAAAACATTGTCTACTGAAGATACCACTTTAAAAATGTACTTACCTAAATATGGTGACCGTTAAGCATTATTAAATTATTCAAAACAAGCCAATTCATCAAAAAGAAAAAGTGCTCTTTTTGATAAATTGATGTCTAAGGTAAAAAAAAATAATAATATTGATGAGTCAAAAACAGAAAGTCCAAATAAAAGGTAAGTTTATTATTTAATATGTCAAGTTTTTTTAATGAATATTTTTGAAAAGTATATATTATTTCTTTAATATAGCTTAGTCTTGAAAAATAGATCGACAGAGAGATATGTTGAAATTGGATGGCTTAATTATGAAATGTCTGCGTATAAATAGGTATTATAAGAATAAAAAATGCATGATTATTTTTTCAAGTAATTTTTGTTATTTTGTATTATTTTCCACAAAAATATCATAATAGGTAATTGTTATAAATTATTCTTAAGATTCTTATATTTAACTATCTCCATTTATCATAATATTTTTGTATTTCAACATACATATTATTTTCAAATATTTTTTAAAGAGCTATTTTTCCATGGACATTTTAATATAATATGCTTTTCAATGTACGTATTCCTACTACCTAGTTATAAGTAAAATATTTCTAGGTGAGAACTGGTTATGGTGGTGGTACCAGAAAAGTACGAGTACAAAAATCATTCTACAAGTCAGATTTGATTGGTCTAGCTAAAGAATAATTTTTTCCTGATGGAAAATCATCTAAAGGAATGATTGATCAATTTTCAACAAATTTATTTAACTTCCAGAAAAATGATTTACCTGATGACTTTTCAGTATAGGTGAATTATATGATAAAACAGGTAGGTACATAACAACATTAAAATAATTTTTTTAATTGTATTATGAAATGTATATTAATCAAATTTTTAGGTTAGGTTTTTAACAATTAATATTTTAATTTTCAATTTTATAATATTCATTTATTATATTTGTATTTCTTTATACTTAGGCTTGAATTCATTAAGATTTTATTTGGCAACAAAGGAAACAACTTCAGTTCTTTTGTCTTCAAAAATGTTTCTACCATCAAATTTAGAATCCTTTTCACCAGATAGATCATCGACTTCTGAAAATTTATTCACTTCCTCTATGTGGTCAATTACACCGTCCACACCACCACCTGTCGATAATGTCGAACTAACTGAACAACCCATATATTTCTATAATAGTCTTGATGAACACAACTATTTTGATTTACCAGAACATGAAATAGAAACATCCAAATTAATTCTCCATAGAGGTCATATATTTGATGAATTAATAGAAGCATTTAAGGGCATGAAACACATTTCTTCTCGATTAGAATTTGAGTTAATTTTGCCGAATGGAAGTTCAGAAAATGCAGTAGACGTCAGAGGTGTTTTTAAAGATGTGTTGTCAGAGTTTTGGTCAAGCTTTTATGAAATGGCTACTACTGGATGTCACTGGAAAATTCCAGTTATCAGGCACGATTTTCAATTAGAAAAATGGTTAGCAATTGCTAAAATTATATTTATAGGTTGGAGAGATATTAACTACCTTCCAATAAGTTTAGCTTTACCTTTCATGGAGTATGTTCTCTGTGGAAATACTGTTAGTACACATGATTTAATTGAAGGGTTTTTAAACACTCTTCCTTTAAGATCAAAAGATTTAATAAAATGTGCTATTGAAGATTTTACTAAAGTCGAACAAGAAGAGTTACTAGATGTTCTTCAAGAGTTCAATTGTCGTTCAATGGTACATGAACAAAATATAAAAGATATTATCTCAGAAATTGCTCACAAAGAGGTTATTCAGAATCCTAAGTACATTATTGATATATGGTCTGAAGAATTAAAAAATAAAATGAAGCTATCTAAATATAGTTTGGAAGAAGAATATAAAAATAAAATACCAACACCAACAAATATATTAAAAAATCTATGCTGTCCAGAAAAAGATGACAATGAAATAAAACGCAAAATCTTTGGGTTTTAAAAAAAATTTATTAGTGAAGCCGACCTAAAGCTTTGTACAAAGTTACTTCGTTTTATAACAGGAGCAGACATCATAACTTCTACCATTAATATTAACTTTAATTCTGTACAAGATTGTTTTTCCCGATCTCCAGTTGCTCATACTTGTACTAATACTTTGGATTTGCCCTTAACATATGATAGCTTCATTGATTTTAGATGTGAGTTTACATCACTTTTGTCATCCAATATTTGGGTTATGGATGTAGCATAATTTTATTTAGCGATTATATTTATTTTATTTTTTGCCCAAGTGATATTGTTTTATTTTATTTTTTACCCAAGTAATATTGTTTTATTTTATTTTTTGCCCAACTGATATTGTTATATTTTATTAATATTAACCATATATAATATTATATATATACAAAGATAAATAATAATTTATTTTACATAAATGTTTTACCTTGGTCTCGTTATACATCATTATTATGTTATTATTATTTATTTATTTATTTATTATTATTATTATACATTGGAACTAGCCCAATACATATTCCATTACAGCAATTGGTTTAATCCTTAAATAGGAACAACAGATCCTTTTACTAGTTAAAGATTTTAATAAATTAATTTAAATTTTTAACTCTTTATAGTCCCTATATCTTTCGCAATCCTTAGTATACTAAGTTTAATAACTCAAAACCGACTCGTAAAAATTTTAATTTTGTTTCGTCAACATTTTCAGAAAAACTATATACCAAAAAATTTCCTGTAGAAAATGGCTGTCTTATACACAGAATATTGGTTTGTATACACATGAGTCGTAAATAATCAAATTTCAAATAATTGCAATATTTAATTGAGAAAAATAGTTTTATAGTAATAAATAAACTTAATCATTAACTATGTTATATAAATAATTTAATTTTTTTTATGGCTATACTTCCATTAATCTTCTACTATGACTTGTAAGTGGTATTGGTTTATTGTTACCAGATAAAATACAAACATTTATATTACCTATTAACTAATTAGGAATAAAATTAAAATTATGTAAAGAATATATTCAATATCATCTACTCTAAGATATCTTTCAATTTATTTCTTAACATAATATAAACATCAATTATACTATAAGATTCATCAGGAATAAAAATCATTTCTTCTGCTAGTATAATACAGCATAGTTCATTAATAGTTGGATCACATGTTACATTTGTTAAATCATTAAGTTCATTTTTACATAGTTGTAACTCATTTTCTTGAACAATGTGTATAAAGTCAGTTGTATTAAATTCTTCAGGTGCTTCAAACATTGTTATAGGTCTTCCATAACAACAGATGCTATTTCTAGATTTTCTAATTCTGTGTACATTCCACTCTAGTGCCATTTCATTAAGTTCTTTCTGGAAAGTTTAACATAAGATGTTGATAGATAAATATTAAGTGTAGGTAGTATTAACTTGTCTTATAATTTATATGTGTATATTACTACATTAGCTATAGATATTGTGTCCATTTAAAATGGATTTGAATATTTTGCATATTAATAACTTTTTGTAATGAAATCTTAGGTAAGTAATTGAAGTAAAACAATTAGTTTTTATTTTATACTTTTATACTTTTTATAGAAAAAAAGAGATTCATTGTGTTATTGATATTACTAATATTGCTTTACTAAATCAATTGTAATTATTTTATCATTCGGGACGTTTTAAAATAATGGGCAACTATATTTTTGCTTATTGTTGAAAGAATACAACTTGTATTTAACCTGACGTTTTAAATACATTATAGAAAACCTATATTTATTAAGTTATAATTACTTGAATTTTTCCCATAAAACAATATCTGATCAAGTTTTTATCAACAAATGATCCATCAAAGTATCCATCATCTTTTAATTGACAGAATAGGTCCATCCAAAATTGGGTAAAATGTTTTCGTAGAATACTCCACCATGATTCAATTCTTTGATTTGAAGGGCTTGTACCGTATATGAACGATGGTCTTTAAGAAGTGATATTTCTAAGCAAAAACTTCTGAAATTGCTCAATATGACGGTTTTCTGTACCTCTATCAAATCTTAAAGTCATTGGACATCCAACTAATGTCTCGACTGTATTTAAATAAAAATTTCCTATGACTGGGGTCACTACAAGAAGGCGCTGCTTCTAACCAAACTATACACCTGGAAAATCCATCAATACACCCACTTATAGAAATTCCATAAGGTTTTAGCTTATCATAGCAATCTGTATGCCATGTATGATTAGGGCCTGGATTAAAGAACTGACGTCTTCTTAGTCTTCTACGACTTCTAATTTCCACACCTTCAGGATCAATTATTTTTAAAATACTTCGTACAGTCTCTTGTTTAACCACAAATCCATTACTAATGCATTTTCTATGCATCCACTTATAGCAATGAAGTTGATTTGAACCCTGAATACAAATTTCTAAATAACGACTTATAATATTGAATAAGGGTGTATAGTCTATGCGTCTAGACAAACCTAGTTCTTTTAATCGTCTTTTCGATGTACGAAGACTAATATTTATGTTATGTTTTAATGACGAATTTGTTATTATTTCATTATAATTAAAATTCATACGAAAATAATTTTCTATTAAACCACTTAAACTCATTATAAAACGCAAAATGAAAATGTAATTATTTAATATTCACTATTCAAATGACTCAACATTGTATAACTATTTATTAAAAGTCAATAAACAATATTACTTTTATATTATTTACAACATAGAAAGTACCTACTACCTATCATATTACAGCTGAAGACATAAACCCATGACTATTCTATTTAGTGATGACATAAACCAAACCATAATACCATATACCTACTCATCTATAATTGAAGATCAATCGGGAAAGATAAATAACATAATCAAAATATTTAAAAATGTTTACGCAAAACCTGCGAGTTTTTTGTCAAAATACTGAGTTGATAAGTCAAAATTGTGAGTTATTAAGTCGAAATTTTGAGTTGATAAGTCGAAATTGTAACAAATATTTTTTTCTAAGTGGCACTACTACGCTTCCGTATAACATCACAGTTGGGTAGACCTATTGTTTTAGGTCGAAACATGAGGAAAAACGACATAGGGATAATTATAAGACTCGCGACAGTAGTGTATCTAAATAAATGGCCTATAATACGCAGAGTTCCGTGTTCTAAAATCTGAATTATATAGATTTAAACACTCCGAATAATATTCTGTTTCGGAATCTGAAAAAAAAATGTATCATCCAAAGAATTCAAAAACTCTAAAACTGATAACAACATATTGTATTATAAATTATAATATCTATCATCTATGGCAAAAG